TATATGTAACAACATGAATGAACCTCAAAAACATTCTGCTGAGTGGAAGAAGGCTTCTGCAAGTATACATTAAGATTTGCATTTTTCACTGTATCTAAATTTCATGTAACAAAAATGTAAACAAATACTGAACTCTAGTTAATGATATACATGCTGAAATATTTACCAAGAAATGTACTAACATCTGCCCTTCAATTTGAAATACACTAAGAAACCCAGATGGACCGAGGGAGAGATGTTGTGCTGGAACAAGTACAGAAGAACGTCAACGGTGGACTCTGGGTGGTGGGTTCAACGTGAAATCTCTCATGTTCCAGTGTGTGAAGATTTGCATAATAAAGTGGGTGGGGGAAAGAGTCCTGTGTGCCTGCTTGGCCACACAGTCCTGAGTGTCATCACTCTGAGTGGGTGCCCTGCCCCCGGGGAGAGGACACCAGGTGGCCTGGAGGACTGGCTCTTTCCAAGGGAAGCCCACAGCTAGTCATAGGCTGGCTGAGATGACCTCTTCTGACCTTGGGGCTTTCCATTCGGACTGTGAGGAGACGGGATTTCCCAGGGCCCTAGGATTCAGCCAACACGGCAGCTGCAGACCCAGGGCCCCTTTGCCCAGGCCTGGCAGGGGCAAGTTGGGCAAGCAGCAGTGGAAACAGCATGGACGCGTCAGTGACTGTGTGACCCTGTGAAAGTCTCTTCCTGGGCCCTAAGCTGCTTTTTCCTCATCTGTAAAATGACAGCAATAAGCTCGGTTTATTACTCACCTGGACTTAGGGGCCCAGAACATGTCTGCCCTCTCTCCCTTCCCCTGAGGCAGCTGAGCCCGGTGCCTCCCTCCTCCGGCAGTTCCGTGTCCTGTGCATCCTCCTCCGACTTCCCACTCGGCCCCTTTCCTCCCACAGCCACCTCTTGCTGGGAGTGCCCCACCCACCCGTCCTCCCTGCCCGAGGGATCTTCGTGGTGCGCACATGCGTGTACACACTCACGCATGAACACATGCACACACAGAGCCCTTCGAGTGCCTGCTTGGAAGCTCCCTTGCTCCCCTCCGCCCTCACACCTGCCCGCCCCAGCAGCCCTGCGTTTTGTCACGGCCCAGGTAACTACTGATGCCTCAAGAGGTGCCCTTTCCTACCTGGAGGCTTCTCTAACCGCACACTCAGTGATGTGACCCCCCAAAGTGAAGTCACGGCTGCCCGTTGGCCTCCTAACCAAATGGGGCAGTATCTGCTCCAACTCTGTGGCCCGGCGCGGCACAGGGCTGCGCTTTGGGAGTCGCTTGCTGGTCCCCACCTCTTCGGCATGCACCCCAGGGATGGCTCAGTCACGGTCCTCTCACTGGCCGCTATGAGGGCTCCAGGGCTGCTCCCCTCTGGGCCATAGTGAAGAGTTAACAGGGCAGCTGACAAAAGGATGGCTGGGCACAGAGAGGGCAAGTCCGAAGTGGCATGAAACATCTCGCTCCATGGAGGGTAGGACAGAGGAGAGACAGGAAACAGAAGTCTTCTGAGCATGTGCCCTGGGCCAGGCCCTTTAACAAAAAACCACACTGACCTATAATCCTAGCACTCTGGGAGGCAGAGGCGGGAGGATC